ACAAACAGCTGATCAGCAGTTTGTCGGCTCAGCGCGGCAGCCATGTAAATGTAAATGAAGCCGCGATCATTTAAATCGCGGTTTCATTTGCCTTTGCCAAAACAACAAATCTACATGGCTCCGTCGACGGAGCCATGTAGTTTAGACGTACCCTGGGTGTGTCTAGATTACAGTTGTGTCAACAAAAGTGGACTTTCATCGACAAAACTATACCTGCGTCTACACTACCGCCGAGTTCCATCGACATAACATCGTCAGAACTCAGCAGTTTTGTTGACAGCGGTAAACCTCATTGTACAAGGAATAACGCCTTTTGTCGACAGAGTTCCGTCGACAGAAGGCGTTATTGCATCTACACTGTCCTTTGCGTCCACACTCTCATGTCGACAAAGCAGCTTGCTTTGTCGACAGAACTGGATGCAGTCTAGATGCGCTTTGTCGACAGTATCTGTCAACAAAGGCTGTAGTCTAGATGTACTCTATGTGAACACATGAAATTCTGTAATGGGTGAACCACTTGAAACCCTTTGCCAACCTAAGGAGGGTAGCTGAAGCTACCATTTCATGAGGACCTCTTTCTGTGGGGAAGACAGTAGCTCTACAAAACAGTTAGAAAATGGTTATACAGCTTAATTGCCTCATCATGTCTATTGGGATACGAAGGCAAATAAATACAATTTTAAAATGAAGATGTGTCTATAGAGTGAGCAAAGCAGAAAAGAAAAATTGTTAGTGCTCCGTAAAATTTTTTTTTTTTTTTACAAATGTTAGTCTAGAGTCTGAGGTGTAGATAGATTCACTGGGAGTATGCCTACACTATAATGGCATAGCTACAGTGCTGGAACTGTGCACTGTGAAGCACATGCTCCTATGTTTACAAAAGGATATTTTTTCCCCTCCATTTACATAGCTAAATCCACCTCTCTGAAAAGCATGGGCTTGTATCCTTCTATTGACCTAGCCATGTTGCCAACAAGGACTAGATTAACCAAACTATGGTGCTTAGGGAACAAAATTTTTCATGACATAGCTAGGTAGACCCAGGGACAGGACTACACTTAATAGTTAGGTCAAACCAGCTATGTCCCTCAGAGGTGTGAAAATTCCATATCGGTGACGGTTAAGCCAACCCTATTTGTAGGTTGATGTAAGAATTCTCTCATCGACCTAGTTATCTTTCTGGAAGACAGATTAATTATAATGAAGCGATAACTCCATCTGCTGTTGTAGTGTCTACAGTGAAGTGGTAAAGCTGCAGCATTTCTACAGAAGATATAGAGCAGGCCTGAAAAAAGGAGCCACATACAAAATGTTATAGAGCAAGAACAGCAAATCTGATTTTGCTGTACACAGGAACAAGATGAAAAAACAAAGATATATTGTTTATAAGGACACATAACCGCCCCTCACCTTCACCCCAAGCACTCAAAGATATAAATTGAAGTCCAAATCTAAAACTGTATAAATAGACTAGAATACACAGCATTAAACAAAGTGGCTTGAGACCTTTGTTTAATTTGAAGTGGGTTAAGCCCATACTGAAGAGTTCTTTACAAACCTGTTAGTTCGGTGTTCACTGGATCTCTTTCGTGAGCAACACGAGTATGCCAGAATTTTAAACATGTCCGTTAAGGCGCTACCATCAGGTGGCTTTGTGATGAAGAAACTCTGACCATACAAAAATACCATGAATGAAATTCCAATGCAAACTGTTGGAATAATATATCCAATAACAAAGCTGACATTTTGTTGAATGTACGCAATGCCTCCAAGGGAGACAATAGCCCCCAAATTAATGCTCCAATAAAACCAATTAAAAAATCTTCTTGTGGCTTCTGGACCTCGGTCTTTGACCTATAAGAGATTAAAAAATAGGCAAGTCATTAGCTTTCTGATGACTGAAGCCTACATACTAAAATTCAGTCAACCACAATATAGACTCAGAAGTTAGGTGTAATACTAAAATGACTGAAGTGGGCTAGGCTTAGTATGGTATTTAATGAAGCAACACTGCATTGTGATCTCCGTAACATCACTGGTCTTCCAACGAAATTAGTACATATTCAATGTGTGTACAGAAGAGCTGTACCAGACCTATTCTGCTCTTACTTGCAGATAGTCATTACTTCCACAACATTAGTATACCTTGGTTGCAATGCATCAGTGAAAATGTTTTGACAACTAAGCAGTCTATGTAGGATTCAAAATAATGTTTATGTTTTAGGTTCTGATCAGACAGTTATAAATTTTTAATAATATTTTTCTAATACACATACTTCAATTATTATAGTTTGATTATCTGAATTAAGTTCTCTGGTTTGCATTGCAAAGTTGCAGATATTTTAACAGCTTTCCCCCAAAAATTGTAATATAATTATAGAGAAAAAGTCTTAAGAGTAAGTTGCTCACTACTTGAAGAATAAGGCATTTTAAAAAATTAGGTATTATCCCTATTGCAACGGTAGCTTAACTGCATACAGAAGATAACCAGTTTTCAAAGATTTCTCTATCACCAACAGGCCCCACCAAACCAAGTAAAATATATATTTCCCCTTGCAAGAAATAAAAATTAAACACAAGTCATTCTTCAGCCAGAAGCTTTAATTCAACATCTCTACAGTCATTCTACAAACTCCATAAGTTTATGATTTCCCCCCTATGAAATTCCAAGTTCTCCTTATTCTACTATTTAGAATTACTATTTCAAGTTAAGAACAGGCAGTCCCCGGGTTACGTACAAGATAGGGACTGTAGGTTTGTTCTTAAGTTGAATTTGTATGCAAGTTGGAACTGGTACATATTGTAGGGGAAACTCTAGCCAAACATTTCTCCAGAGCTCAGTTTTATTCTCCCACACCTCACTTCCCTCAGTCCTTTATTCTCAAGCTGAGGAGTCTGCTGAGAAAAGCCGCTCCACGTCTCCCTGGTCTGCTGGGGGGAAGCAGCTAGTGCGGGGTTGCCTCACCCCGTTTGTAAGTAGGGATCCGATGTAAGTCGGATCCATGTAACCCGGGGACTGCCTGTAATAAGAACCTTGTATAACTCAGGACAGGATGCAGTTTATCAGAAGTTCAAATTTGGAAAAAAAAAAAAAAAAAAAGCCTTTACTTAATAAGCCTTTACTTACAGACTCCATGGCATCCTATAACTCTAATGACTGAAACATTTAAGTCAGCAAGCACCCTTTGGCTGAAAACTGACAAACTATTAACCAATCAGCATCACATACCAACTTAATGGAATTTGATATCCCATGACTGATGATCAAAAGCTCCCACTTTTTAATTTGCCTGGCACTCAGAAACCTGGAAGTACGATGTGTCTCTGATCCACATGCTGTGTGTCTGATCCGCATCTGAAAACCCAACTTTTTCTACAGGTAAGTTCTATTGCTGGTACTGCTCTATATCTTCTGCACCCACAACAGTGAAAAAAGTACTGTTCAAAAACTTGATTATGCTATTTGACTCAACAGCTGTAGGAGGAGGCACAATTTAGCCTGACAAAGCTGCTGTGTGAACCCTGGAAGTCTAAAGGGCCCTTGCAATTTCTATTTTTCTTCAAATTTATATATAACTATCAAAGAAAAGGTGTCTCACTACAAGGGAGATGGAAGTGGGCCTGCCCTGAGTTTCACCATGGTAGGGCATGGAAAGGTTGCACAACTATGGGGTGCTAACATATCTTTGGTTTTCTAGCAAACAACTTGCCTAACCTGCACAGAACTACAAATCACAGCTCCCATCTATTCTACCACTAAGGGACAACTAAAGAGTCCCAATTTTGCAAGTTTAAGACAAGGACTTCACAAAAGAGAGTGAAAGGATTGACATTAAGTGAAATGTAGGTCATGGGCCAACAGGACAATGTGGAAAGTAACAGATACATTAAGCTGGAAGGGACAAGGTGTTCCCATCCCCTAAGGTATTCTAGTCCATAATAGAACAAAGGAAAACTAAGACTGAACTTTGATTGCTGTTGAGGTTCTTGTGCTCTGTTCCCATTAAATACACGCATATCGTTCCTCTCTAGGAATCTGTATTTCTTACGGTAATGAACTAGCGATGTAAAAATTTGTTTAAAAATATAACAGCTAAAAATCAAAACAGTTACATATATTGTGGGCTTAAATTAATAAGCTTTATACTGCAGAGCCTGCAGCAAAGCCTCCCTGAAAGAAGGGGGGGCAAAGAGGCTTCACTGGGGACTCTGCAGCCAGCTCCCCAGTAAGGATGTTAAAGGCTAGTCAAAAGGTCAGGTGAGCCCATAGCATGGAGCCCAGGGTCAGCAGGGAGACTGCCACGTGAAACTGAGTGTGCCACTTTAGGCTCAGCTGGGAAGCCCCCAGGTGATCCCAGGCTTAGCTGCCTCCCCTCTGAATCACGTGGAGGCGGCAGTTTCAAAGAGGTAGCTGCCACACAGCTCATCAGCTGTGTGGCAGATGTCCCTTTGAAACTGCTGCCTCCGCACAGTTCAAAGGGGCAAGGAAGCCCATAGCATTGAGCCCGGGGTCAGCAGGGGACTTATAGGCTCTCCATGGCTTTTAAATGCACACGAATTCCCACTGGGGACTCGTGTGCATTTCAAAGCAGGGACCCATGTGCAGCCCAGAGTCAGCGGGACTTCCTGCTGGCCCTGGGCTGTATGCAGAGTTCCACATTCCTCTTTTGAAATATACAAGAGGGGACCACGGGGGTTCTTGTACATTTCAAAGGAGGAATGCGAAAGTGCATATCGATTAGTCAATGGAAATTCTGTCAACTAGTCTATTAACTGCATTTTAACATCCTTACTCCCTAGGGTGCAGGCTGGCCAGTGTGTAACCTGCGGCGGGGGGATAAG